GTAAAGAGAGGTTACCAATACATATTAACGATTCCTGATTGTTGAAGGTTAAAACAATTATGTTTTAATTTACAGTGTAATGAAGGAAACCATGTACTGTCCATCAGAGAGATTCATCTCCAAAGTTAAAAATATTTATATAGGAGAGATATTACAAAAGAGCCAAACCAGTCTTAGAACTTTGCAACTTACATCCACACTTTATGTGAACCAGGAACCCATAATTTTTCAGGTGAGCAAATGCTATCCATGAATGTTTGTAGCCTTTTTCTCCCGTTCTTTAAAAAACTGTCCAAAGTTTTTGCATTCTCTAACAAAACTTGTTCAAAGTTGTGGGCCAAAATACAATTTATGTCTAATGCTAGGATCTACAATGCCCAAATCATTCTTTGAAAGGGAAATTAACGAAATATAGTGGAAAAAGAAATCATTGTTCTTAAAATCCTCATGGTTTTAATTTTAGTGAATCGATTGTAATTGAGTACGATATTTTCTTCTGTTTTGTATCTTTTTTTGTAGGTTTTTCCTTCTGAAAAGGGCTGGCCTTTCCCCAAATTCTATGGAGCTTGTGGCAGAGTGATTATAGTTGAGGATGCAGGACTTCCTCTTGATTATTTTTTGTCATATCCCTGGATAGAGAGAGCAAAGCTGGCCCTTGCAGTAATCAAGATTGCAAAGCAGCTGTCAAATAATCCAGAAAATTGGGGATTGTATATGACAGAGATAGCACTGGATAATTTTGCCGTATCAAATGGAACAGTGAAACTTGAAGATGCAGATGGAATTTTAGTGGCTGATCTATCAGGTTCAGGTATCAAAGGTAAGGTTAGCAATACTGTGTAATTTTGTTTTTGAATTCTTTTACATACTAAGAAAATTTGGTTCTATCAACTGACAAAGTACTAATCCACTCTAGTGTATTAAACCAAAATTATCTTGTCTACTCTCCCTATGATGCAGCACCACAGTTTCTTGAGAAACTTGCCCCCTTTATTAATTTTTCTTTCAAATACCAACTAACTGGTGAGAAGAGCAATAACAGACAATAGATTTTTTAGGGTCAGTTAATGAACAATCTAGATTGAATGTAGGGGCTATAAGGTGAAATGCATTTTGACCCTCTATCCCTGGGGTAACTAAGGAGTACTATCTTCTTTCGATATCCATACACTATCAAACTTATGGCTGATATGAATAAAGAAATAAAAGATAAAGTAGAGGATATCATCTATTTAAAACTAAATTCTTGGAACTAACATAGTAAGAAATGTATTGATATCAGACAGAAAGGAGAGTTGCTGATAAATTAGAAACATCTAGAAATAGAACCTTACCATGACTTGCGCTAACTCTATTTTATAGCCGAAAGAGAAAAGACTGTGGATGTTTGTGACTGGGAAGAGACAAATTGCTTGTCCTCACACCCAGCTGAGCTCTGCAGAGGAGTCATACGAGATCAAAATTATTATGCTGTTTGCCGCAGTGTGTTATCAGATATAGGAAGTGGAAAAGGACTGTTACACTCCCCTCCTGAAGAAGGGGATTTTAACAATTTGCTCCAGGAGGCACTGACAGAATGTGTTACAGCACAAACATTAAAACGAAAAGAAGCTCTTGATCTGGTAGTGAGTTTACTTCAGAAGCAAATTGAAACATGATAAAATGCTTAAGCATGATGTTCATAGTAAACAGGTGGCTGCAATAATTTAACTTCTTATCCTTTCCAAACTCAATTGTTATTGTGCCTTTTCATTAACAGGAGACCTGTTAATTGACCTTTCCTTTGTGGAATTGTTAGGATGTAAGTGCGATATTTCACAGGGCTCCCAGCATTCTAAGACCACTTTCCTTGTGTGCTGATTGGCAATTTTGTTTGTCTCTGCTTTCAAATGTCAGAAACATTTATTTAACCCTTTAACTGCCAAGAGTGACTAGCATCTAATTTCTCCTTAAAAGCTCAACCCTGAATTACACATTAAGGTAAAAAGATTAAAGGAAATTATCACTAACTCAAGAAACTCTTGAATGTTAGGTAAATTCTCCTTGTCAGCACCTTAGGAAATGTATAGAGAACAGAAGGGAGAATATGAATACTGATGTAAGGTTGTAAAGGGTTTGTGGTTGCTGGGTGGTAGACACTTTTGTGATGAGTACATCCTAAAACCAAAACTAACTGACCTACCACTGACAGTGATTCAGAACAATTTTCAACTTCACATGGAGCCAATGGAAAACTCATAGGAAAGGCATGTTAACTATGTAAAGGAGCAAAGAATATCAAAGTACCAGTGCAAAATTATCATTTTCAACACTTAATCTACCTGCAGTGCAGCTCAAAGATAAGGGGACCAAAATGTGCCCACTTAGAACTAGTCTAAGACCAGATGCAAACTAGTCTTGACAGACAAAGCAGATACATCTAACAGTAGATGCATCTGCTTAATAACTGCTTAATAAGTATGTTAATGAGCTAGCTGATTGTTTTCTCTATTGTGGAATGATTATTGTTTATTTCAAAGGGCATTGTATTGGCAGAGTTTGTGTCCCTGAAAAGCATCTGTCTTTATGATTATTTATGCATCTATTTGCAGCTCCCTGTGTTAAACTGCTGGTGTTTTATATAACGCTTTTTGTTTCAGTGTTCTCTGGAATCTTTATATATTATTAGAAGTGGAATACTTACTATTTGTGGTAATATATGTAAGTTATTTAAGCAAACTTAACTCTCAAGACAATGGCACAACTATTAATATGACACCCTGTTTACCAAATTATTTGGATGCGATAGGGTCATATTTACATGTCATTGAGCAATTTCTTAAGACAGACATTCATTCATACTTGGTATAATTATAGAACACTTTGGACAAGCATCCAGTCTGTGCTTAAGTCTCAATTATTGTTATATATTTTGTAATAGACAGAGTAACCAATGAAATAATATTAACTGGTTACCTTCAAATAAGATGTTGTTTAATTTTTTTGGCAGGATGAACAGTTTTTTGCGACCCCTTATGCGCCAAACGAATGGTAAATAATTAGGAATTTTTTGACATGCAGATGAAATGTATTTACTGTTATTTATTGTTAAAGTAATGATAGAATTAGATGAAATTTGTTTGCTTTTATGAGCTACTTAGTAGCCAGAGTAGATATACGTATCAAGTTCATATGGAATTACAGAGAATTAGCTTATATATTCTAGAAACAATAATTAAAATAAACATTAATAAAAACAAAATAATGCAAAAAAAAAAGGAAATAGTGTATATATATACATACAAGATCTACAATAACCGTGCAAGACCTCTACTTTTCTTTTACTGGATTAAGGTATCTAGGCCTTGTATTTGTCTTCTATTTAATAATATACCTCAAAGCTTTGTTGCAGTGTTGTTACTTTATTAAAGTTTTGTTAATGACAATCGAAAATTAGGAAATGATTAACTAAGAGATTACTGTTGTAATGACTGACTGACGAATGATGACTGTTTACGTGCGTTAAAAATTTTTGTAGATTTCTCTGCGTCCTCTGCAAAACAACAACGTGTAATGACCAAACTTTGCGCTGTCTGGAGAACGTGAACATCTACGGCTAATTTTTTAAATTTCTATTTCTAATTTAAAGCTGTGTTCCATTTTCAGTTTCGAGATAGTTTTGACCGTGAAAAACAAATTAAATGACTTTTGAGTATATCGCGAGATTCGTAGGTAAAATAAAGGTTCGCGTTTTAACCGACGTTGTCCACGGCATCGCCGTCGTCGTCGTCGTTTCTTAAATTCCCCATTACTGTTGGCGAGTGGACCATTGGTGTCCGTGAGTTCTTAAATTAATGGCGTCAGCCAGTTATCATGTCGGAGAAGTGACCGGTAACCCTGAATATCGACAGTGGTAGAGCATCGAAGCGTGAGGGTCCAAGCTTTAAATCTTTGTTGGGTTTTGGGTTTTTCTCTTTAACACGTGCTCGTCATGAGAAAATTCACATCTTTTTCTAAAATGTTGGAGCCCTTTTTTTAGTGTTCATATTGAGGTAAACTGTTGGGAAAAGCTTTCAAAAGTTTACTCCTGGAGCGAAACGACTTATTATCTGAGGCCAAACGACTTCGATTTCTCTCGGTAACGAAACGACCGTAAACCATTTGCACTTCTCAAATTGAAATCACCTGGCATCTCTGAAAATGCATCTGATATTGTCAATAAGTTTAATTGGACGAACTTCTGTGAACTTTAATGACTGTCTAGTGTGTGGTCTATATAATATTTAGCCTTAGCATAGGGTCAAGATCACCCTATTTACTAAAATAAACACCAAGAAAAGTTTTAAAGTATTTTGATTCCAGTTAATAGACGATGACAATTTACAAAATAAACAAAGAGGTCAAATTGAAGTTATACCTTCAGGCAGTTATGCTGAAGGAGTAATTTTTTAAAATTCCCTTCTGGAAGGAGAAAACGGAGTTAGTTTCCGCGCGATGTTGTAGTGCACTTTTCCGGTCAGTAAAAGTCTTCACTTTTGCAGTCTCAAATACTCATAATAAAAAGGTTTAGTATGTGGTTTTCTCTTGAGGATGAAGTTTACACTAAAGTGATTAGTGTAGAAAAAATATACTGGCGAAACTAATTAAACCTTTTTTTGGCCATTAGGACATCGGCACTGCAGTAAGATAACACAATCTGCTCAAACAATTAAAAACCATCAATGATTCTTTGTTGTCAAGAAATTGTTTCAGTAGTTCAGGTACTGTAGACTTGGTCTTCGACTGTCTGTGCCAACAATGACAAGGACGAAAGAAAACAGAGATAAAGTCTAACCGCAATAATTTATCTCGATGTTATCAAAAAAAACTTCCTCTGGAAAACAAGGCAGGTTAGTACGATTGCTATGCGAAGCTGTGGGAATTCTCTCGGCAGCCCGTGGTTGATCAGATAAATGCTCTCCACATCAAATAACTGAATTGAGAGAGCTTCCGCTCTGATCATTTCTCATGTTACATAGCCATACCAGACTAATAAGTGAACGCCTCTTTATGATAAAAGCGAAGTAGCGGAGATATTTTCAACGCCCTGGCGTGTTGCGAGAAGATCATTTAACTTGGAACATCAACAGAACTCTAGGTGGCGGCTTGAATCCGCAACGATTTGGAAGAAAATGGAGACCGAGAGGCTTTTTTACATCTCCGTGCTTCTGTGTTTATTTTGCATCTGCCAGGTGAGCACGTTGAATGCCTGTTTAGAATGAACTCCTTGCCGTCTTTATGATACTATCGATTAGGAGGGTTAAGAACGAATAAGCATTGATGACAAAATCAAAGTGACAAAAAATGAACTCTCGGTGTTGGAAACCGACTGAGTGAAGCACTATTGCGCGGTTGTTTAGCAAGAGGCTTACTTCAAATAATGCTGGATAACTGTTTTTCTAGAGTGGATTAATCGATCGGAAAAGCTGCTTTCTTCGAGGGATGTAAAACAAAATGCTCAACAAACGGACGGGTTTTTTTCGTCCCAAGCCACACTTATGGCGCCCCATGTGTACTAAGCAGAATCATTGATATCTGACCTATTTATGGTAATTCTGACTCACGGACTAAATCAGAACTTTCCACCTCGAGAGAAGCTGCATTTTCAAGTGCATTGATAATTCCTGTGTGAGAGTTTGCACGATCAATATTTATTCTTACAGATATTTAGAGATTGATGTTTATAACTTTTCTCAATAAGAGCAGAAACGATAACGTTCCTTGTTAACAGATTTCCCTTGTCGATTGACTAGAACACATTTTTGTATTCACCAGTTTCTTAACTCAAAATGGCCGAGCTTTTGCAAAGAAAACATACCGAAGAATTTCCTTTCGCCTAGTGTAAACACCTCTAAGTACCTTGGGGAATTTTGAAAAATTAACAAAAATATCAGTGATTGATGATTGTTATGACACTCAATCAAGACAAAGGAGGTCAGTTCCTAATTCATCTGGAACCTATCTCGCCTACCTCATTAGTTTCAGAAGTCAAATTTAGAGGAAAATTCCACCTCTCGATACAAACGAAATTCCCTTTGGTACAGGTTTTCCTGTTGAGAGCGAGTTTTTTTATTTAATATCGATTTATACAGTTAACTGGAACGTACATTTTTCGTACCGTTTAGGAAATCATTATCCATAACCTGTAAGCCAGCTGATTTCTTGTAAAGGAATCCATAACAGACTCTGAGCTGGATTCTGTCTAAAAAGCTCTTGAAAGTTATTGAAACCTCTTGAGTTTTTAATGGGCGTAAAATAGAATGCTTGAGTAAATGCTTCAAATCCTCTTGATATTTTGATACCGAATACCTTTGAATCATCGGAGGTTCTGGTATTCGATGAGCTGTTTCTGCTTTGATTTGCAAATGTTTTGCAGCGTTTTTTAGATTTTTTCATTGAATTTTTTTTAAAGCATACTAGCCTACTGAGATGACTTACTGGCATGAGAGGGTATGAATGAGCTCCAGAAACTCTTTTGGGTAGAAATCTTTCAACACAAATACCTTTGCCGCTTTCGTCGCTTTCACAGATCATAACATAGCGATTTAAATTCAGTGATTAAATTTCTCCAAGGGTACCTTGTTGTGGGCCTGTCTACAAGATCTTAAAATTCAGCCATCATGGAAACCCAAATGCCCTTATAGTGAAGATAAACCTATATTTATCGGAAATGAGGTATAGATTTTTTTAAAATGTTTTTTCTATAAGGATTGCAGCAATGATAAAAGACCAGCTGTTTCGTTGATTGCAGTGACCCAGGTCATAAATTCGTTAATTCTGCCTGGTTGTTTTCTAAGATATGACAATATGATAAGTAATATTTTTAGCAATTTTAAGGATTAACCCGGCTGGATACATGTTTTTGCCACGAAACTTCTTGAATGTAATGCGGTAAAATTTGAAAGACACCGCCATCAGCGACCTTAAAGCCGCAAAACTTTTAAGTTCTCGAAGTGAATTTTCCCTTGACTTTTCAGCAACTAATAAAAATTACGTAGATCGAGGTTTTAGGATCCTCGAATCTCTGACTTAAGACTTCTGCTTCCCTTCTCTTGTTCTAAATTTGTTTAGCATGTTACAAATCCGCTAAATAGCTCTCAGTCGTCTCGAATATCAAGCTTAAGCGGTCGGCTTTAGGACCTATCAGGGTGGTCTTTGCACATGGGCGTGATACCTGATCCACTCGAGAAAAACACATCTCCCCGCAGCTTTCTTCCGGACACTGGACCGAGAAATGCAAATGACTCATGATAGACTTTGAACAGTCAGTCTATCTCGGCACAATAAATCCGTAGCGCGAGTCTAAAAAGAATGGCTCATGAAAGACTTTGAACAGTCAGTCTATCGCGGCACAATTATGACGCAGCGCGAGTCCAAAAGGGAAATACCTCGCTACCCCGGAACTCGTAAACATTTTTTTTCGTGGCCGTCTGCTACTTTATTTTGTTTCGCCTAGTTTCTATGATCTGCGAGGTCGTTTTGAGAGTTTTTTTTTTTTTAACGGTGGAGCTGTAGGTACCTGGAAAAAGGAGATGGAGGCTCGAGAAATTCACATAAACAAGCTAAGCAGGATATATATAGTTTAAAACGGATTAAGAATGCTGTACCAACACAATGCGAGCCCATGTATTTTACTCTATCAGGTGCACGGACAGGACGAAGATCCTTGTAAGGGTGTGGTCTGTCCAAGGGGGCGAATGTGTTGGTCCTCCACGGACAGCGGTGAAAACTACACTACTTGCGAGTGTCCAAAAGAATGTTCAGCAGACCCTGAACCGGTTTGTAGCTTTTATCATAGAGAGTTCAACAACCAATGCGAAATGCACAGGTACGCATGCGCACACGACCTGACAATGAAAGTAATGAACCGAGGAAAGTGCCCGACAGAGAGTAAGTGAAGCAGATGTTACTTAATCTACCAGTTATCTTGTGATAAGTCGTTGACGAAGATATACGAGTTTAATTAATAGAAGAAAGTGAGAAATCATGAAAACCGACAAGTCTTTTTAACCCTCTGGTTTTTCTCGATTCGTATTTTTCCGTTAGTTTTTTTAAACGTTTACTGTTGATTGCATGAGATTGATGAGAGCTTAAAGCCAGTGACATCCTAACCGGTGTAGGGTGAGAAGAATGGTAGGAAGGGAGGAAGTGTTGTTATTTTTCCTCACTATCCT